ACTTTGGAATTATTCATTACCGTAGTTATAATAATCAGTATCATCTCAAGTTTCTTGGCTTAAGAAATTCAGAAATCACCTTTTCTGGAAGGCAGCTATGTTCCCCACTACGCCGCCAACGCAGACACCTTTTCTGTACCCCCATTTACTACTTGGCCACCGCTCTGCAGTCGCTGCTCCTCACGCCCACCTGCCACCTCCCTTGCAATCTTTCCTTCTTCTTTGTCTTTTTCAGCCCGGGTCTTGATGTGCAGTTCAGATTGGCCTTGAGCTCACTCTGTAGGCCAGGCTGGTTTCAAACTCACACCGATCCTCCAGCCTCAGCCCCTCAAGTCCTGGGAGTTCAGAGGTGCACCACCATGCCCGGCTCAATTTTCCTTTTTCTCTTTTTTTTTTTTTTTTTTTTTTTTGTATTTTAGTGCATGTTCTACTCACTATGTAGATCGGACTCATAGTGATCCGCCTGTGTTCAGCCTTCCAAGAGCTAGGATTACAGCTGAGCACCACCACGCCCAGTCTCAATAGCTCGCCACCCCCACCCTGGGGCGGGGCCGGCACAGCAAGCTGGGGATTGAACACCGGCTGTGGCTGCATTGGCCTGAACAGGAACTTTAATCTGACAATCTTTCCTTTTTGATCTGGTACCATTATTCACTGACCCCGGCGAATTCAGAGCCTAGGGAAGTCTGTGAAGCAAACAAGTTTTTCTCTGTCATTTCCCTCTCTCCATTCCTTCTGTGAGCTCCTGGAGTGACTAAATATCACTGATAATGTTCTCTACTCACAACATTTACATCATCTTGACTTGGGACCCCACAGCTCCAAGAACTTCCTTTTCTCATTCAAGGAAATCCTGAAACAATTTTGTATGGAGAGTAAATACCAGTTAACTTGGACTTTTTTAAAAAAATTATTTATTTGATACAGGATCTCACCATGTAGCTCAGACTCCTAGCAATCCTCCTGTCTCAGCCTCCCCAGCACTGAGATTATAGGCTGTTATGGGTTCTCAACATTGAAACCAGACCTGAGTCCAAATTAAAATTTAAATATGAGCCTTTTATTACCGGGCCGGGGACCACTTGACCATACTCACACAGGAGAGGACAAACGGCCAGGAGTCTTAGAAGTACAGAGATTTTAAAGGTAGAAACCGCACCCTGTTTGGCAAACAAATTTGTCATTTAACACAGAATAGTACCTTTAGGGACAGCATGACAGCATACATTTTTTCTGGGAGCATTGTTTTCTGGGAACTCTCAGTCTATCGATGATTTATCAACAGTACACCAAGGAAGCAGGGTCACAGAAAGTTGAGCAGAGCAATTTTTTACATTTAGTTTCACATTAACTCATCACACACGTGTGCCACCACGTCTGGTTCTGCGGCTGGCACAGTACGCCTGGGGTCTGGGGCAGGAATGGCATATGGTGCCGGGCATCGAACTCTGGTCCTTGCACTTGCCAGGCAGGCACTCAGACTGCTGAGCTATCTCCCCAGCCTCCAATTTGGACTTTATTAACTTATAATATGACAAATAAATAACACTTTTAGCCAATAGACACTCTTCATTCAATTATAAAGTTTGCTGATCCAGTGAACAATAGATTGGTAAGTAAAAATTCATTTTATGTTATATATAATGTACACCTTCATATATAATAAATACCTTACAACATATGTAATATATAACAGTATAAATTGGGAAGAAGCAATTGTTTTCAAGCACTGGCAACATTGTTTTTTAATTTGAAAATGTTTCATAGTTCCACTGAATATGATTTGTTGGATCTTTGGTAAAAATAAACCAAAATTGTCATGTGCATATAAACATTTAAGAAACAGTATTACTAATAAAATATGACATAGTCACTAATTCTGTTACTGTTAGTCTACCATTCTATAAATCTTCCTTGTCTTGAGCTTTATGGAAGAAATCTCCTTTCTTTTTTTTTCTCCCCCTCGAAACCAGAGATCAAATTCAAGAACTTACATTTGCCAGGCAGACATGTAGGCTGCTAAGCTATCTCCTGGCCCAATATTGTTTCCTTTCTTTTTCTTTTCTTTCTTTTTTTGTGTTTTAGGGAAGGGCCTATAGGGTGTTTAGCGTCTCACTACTAGATCGGACTCATAGTGATCTGCCTGTTTTACAGTCTTCCCAAGAGCTGGGATTACAGGCACATGTCACCACCCCCAGTCTAGCAATCTCAATGAGAAAGTAGAAAATAAAACCATTAGCAGACAAGGCCTTGTTATTTAATTTTTTCAGCAAGAAATTAGTTTTCCTGACTCTGTACCACCAATTGACAGTTTGATAACTTTACCCTAAAATTATTAAGAGAAATCATATCACATGTTAAATGACAAGCTGTTAGTCTGCCATAAAAAACTTTTTATGATAGACGCTTCTACACTCATGAGATATTAATGTAAGACAAAGTAAAATTTTAAAAATTTGAACCTTGTATCAATGCAAGGAAATTTCAGTCAGATTTTCTTTCAAGAAATTGGAAATAGGGTAAAAATAGCCTGTTTTCTGAGGGTTAAACTTTAAGATCAAATACAACAGATAAGAGTAGAGATAAACGAAGTCAGTTTTGAAATACAAACCGGCCTGACTTAACCATACCTCAATTTTTATTGAAAGAACATTACTAAGATGTAACCATGGTAACAGAGACAGAACATACAGGGACACTTCAGAGCTGGTGGCTCTCCAAGCGGTGTCAAGGAGACAAGAAGCCTAAATCAAGAGCAACAGGATGCCCCTGGTGTACTGAAGATCAGTGTGTGGAACACAGTACAACCACTGGAAACTGAGTACGTACTCCTACCTCCCGACAAAATCATCAGCCTGTCGTAAAAATAAAAGATTCAAGGAAAGTAATATGCATATAGCTCTACTTGTCCCATATCTATGTTTATCAAACACCTACTGATACGACCTTTGGCGTTCTCAGTAGATACGACTGCATAGAAAATGTACTAATTTTGCAGTTACGAGTACTAGGGGCACATATCACATTTCTTAGACATTCATAAATTAGTAATTCTGGTTTTGTATGTTAATTTCACGGCTAACATAAGCTCAAGTGATTGCTCATGTTGTATCTAAATGATATTTGATTTTTTTTTACTTTTTTTTTTTCTTTTTTCCGGAACCAGGGATTGAACTCAGGCCCTTGCACTTGTCAGAGAAGTGTTTAATCCACTGAGCCATCTCCCCGGCCCCTATAAATGATATTTGAAAAACCAGGATTTACTGGACTAGATCCTAGAAGGCTCTGCGAAAATCACCAAAGGACTGGTTCTCTGTCCTGTTAGCCTGTTAGGAACAGCCAGAAATCTCCTGGCAATGATCATTCATTTATCAGCCAAGCTTTTCCATTTAAAAGGACCACTAAGGATCAGGGAGTATAGTAGACTTCAGTGGCAGAACACTTGCTTAGCATGTGCACAGCTCTGGGTTTGCTCCCCAGTATGGGAACTCCCCCATACAAAACCCCAACAAATGATCACCAATAATAGTTTGGAGGGTAGTGTCTGTGATTTATTGCTCTTTATTATTTCTTTCACTCTTTTGTAAAATTAAGCTTATTGGTACAATTTAGATATTCATCATAGGGAATCTGTACCTGCATATGATATATCTTAGTTCCTCTTCTTTCCCCTGATTTCCCTCCTCTCTTCAACCCTTCTTCCCCTCCTTATGCATAAAGCTTTGTTTCCATTTTACCTCTTTTTTCCTCAATTTTTCCCCTTCCACCCCTGCCATTACCCTTTGCTATTTCTCTTTAACTTTTTTTTGTGTGTGTGGTACGGGGGATCAAACTCAGGACCCTGCGCTTGCCAGGAAAGCACTTACTCTACTGAGCTATCTCCCCGCCCTCCTCTAACATTAATGAAATGGCAATGAACACAGATAAACTACTGGTAGGAAAGATTACTCAGACCACGGTGGATGGCAAGGAACCCTTAGATTTAAAATATCCCATAGATAGTTCAACAACACTTGATACCATGCATTTGGATACTTTTCTGTGATTTTGGGTGGGGGCTCCTGAGGACTGAACCCAAGGCCTTCCACAGGGCAAACGAACACTCTACCAGTTCCCAGACACTATCATTAGGGCCCCTGAATTCCGGATTCATCTTCTTCAGTACACATGGTAAAACCCAGCATGAGTGAATCTTATTGCCCATCGTCTGTGCAGCTGGCAGTTACCAAAGAGCTGACCACTACCAGATAACTCATACAAATAAATGGGGTGGCATAGTCTGCACCCATTAATAGGGTGCTGTCTGGAGAGCATGAGTCCTACTACTCTGTCCCCACTAGGATCACTTTTGCTCGCTGAGACTTTTTTCCTTTTCTTTTCTTTTTTTTCGGAACCGGGGATTGAACTCAGGCCTTTGCGCTTGCCAGGGAAGCGCTTATTCCACTGAGCCATCTCCCCAGCCCCATCTTTTTATTTTTTTAGGCTCTTTGGGACAGGGTCTCACTACGTAGTTCAGTTTGGCCTTAAACTCCCTTTATAGGCCAGGCTGGTCTCCAATTTGCAACGATCCTCCTGTCTCGGGCTCCCAAATGATGGGATTACAGGCCAGCCCGGCTCTCCGGGATAATTTGAATCTTCTCAGTCTCCCTACACACCTCTTTATCTTGGCCCCTATTTCACTGAAAACATTCTTCCAAACTGCTGAACGAGTTTACATACCCACTCAGCAAACACACTCTTCTCATTTTACTGTGGCACACCAGTTTGTTAAGTGGTCTGTTGTTGAGTTCCCGAGACGTTCCAAATTAAAGCTTTGTCCTGCAGCGATTACTCGGGTTGCAGGAACCCCTTGCTTCCAGTAGGAGGCACTGTTCGGCCTTCTGCCAGGGCTGCGCCGGCGCCGAGGCGTCACGTGACCCAGCCGCCTCTGCGCCGGAGGGAGGTCCTGCAGAGATTTGCTTTACGTGCATAGCGTCATGACGTAGTACGTAGGGGCTGGCTTGCCGCCATCTTGCTTCTTTTTCTCGCTTGCTCTCACCCTCTCGGAAAGCAGAGAAAGTGCTTTGGCGGTTTGTCCATCCGCAGCTTCGGCTTCCCAGTCCGGTGGCCTCTCTCGCCACTCCTCCAATCCCAACTTCCCCTCCCCCTCATCGGACCTCGGTAGAGCCCTCGGAGTACGCAAACTGGCGGGTAAGGAAGGCGAGGGCAGCGGGGCCGGGATCAAAGAGGGCCCCATCGGGAAGGGCCGGCGTGCGGCGCCGGGCCGGGAGCGCGTCCGGGCCGGGCTCGGGCGCCTGCGGCCCGCTCCGGGGCTCCTCGGTGCGGCACCGGCTTTCCGTGTCCGGGGAAATCGGCCTGCGCCCCGGAGCGGGCACCCCGCGTCGGACCCGCCCCACGAGGTGTGCGGCGGGCGTTGTGGCCCTCGGGGCGCCCCGCAGCCGGTCCCCTGCCGGACCTCGCGGCCGCGTGGAGCGCCTCCGGGGCCAGGGAGTTTCCATCCCCCGGACTGCGGGTGATCCCCCGGTGCGAAAGCTGCGTCCCTCAAACGACCGCAGGGCTCAGCAGGGGCCTTTATGTGTCTGCCTTCGCGTGTAGTAGGTAGCGTTGGAGGGATCAGTGCGTGAGCGTCGGGATTAAAGACCTGATTCTTCGGGGAATGTGGACCAGCCCACTTCCGCCGGGGTCGCGCTAGCCAGTCCCCGGGGGCATTTGGGGAGCCCTTGCTCGCGCTAGGCCGCTCGCTGCATCCCCTCGTCGGCGTGGCGAATCCCACTCAGCTGCGCCCTGTTTTGGAGGTAGCGTTCGCATTATCGGTGTGAGGATGAGGATCCCACGTTAGCATGAACGAAAAAGTCGTGGGGACCATAGAGGACCACGATAATCAAGGATGGGAAACTTCGGAAAGCAGCTCCTGTAATTACTTTCAAGGAGTGCGTATTTGTTCTGACTTGACTTGTTAAGATCTTTCGAGTGACCTAACGTTCGCCGGGTTCTAGAGCCACCCGGATTTCCGCATTGGCCGGCCTTCAGCTTAGATTCATAGATTTATACCTCGGCAGGCAGAGGGCTTGGAATCGTACAGTAGGTGGCTGTGCTGTAAAATTTTCATTTGGAATGCACCGGAAGAATCGGAAAATTCTTAAGCGCTTGTTAGTCCTGCAAACAGAATTATTAGGGTGTTTTGAGCACCCGCCCACCAGCTCTTAACTCCAGCATTTAAAAATAAGGATTTAACCACCCATGTTGGTAATTGAGATGCTGCTATCACTGGAGCCATTTTTAGGTGTGTGTCGCGGATGTACTGCAGCATCTTTGGGCCTCACCCTAAATGCACTGATAACTCGAAAATTAGGAATAGAGTGTATTTTAGTTTTGTTTTTAGTATATAATTGAATAGTATTTCTCTAGAAGTGGGATTTTAGAGTCGGGCTGTTTAAATTGGGGGAGCAATGCAAGCTCGTCTGTGTGGCCGTTTTACCTCCACCTCCACCGCTAGTTACCTATGTTCTTCGTACAGTAACAAGTTCTTTATGTACATTATCTTTTTTAAAATTTCCTACAATTTTTTTAGGAGGTGCTCTGAATCCTCCTTTTATGGATGAGGAAAGGAAGTCCGAGACATTAAGTTGACCAAGGTCACACAACAGTAACTGGTGGTACAGTGCTGAATCTGGATTCAGACGCATATTGTTTAAAACACTCCCGAGGAAGATACTTTAAATCAAGTTGCTTCCTTGTTCCTTGTAATTCTGTGGTCTGTAGTGAGTAAAATGTAGCACTATTAATAGTGTTTCTTTACCTTCACTTTAGTATATGAACATTGTTGCATGTGAAGGTTACCGTGTTTCAAGTGTAAAAATTATGGATGGGACAAAAGCTAATTTTTTGTGTCCCTTACTTTTAAAGTCCAGTGAATGCTTGAAATTTAGCTCTATATTTACCACACGTATAACTTTTAAATTTTGAGATACTATTGGTAGACCAATCCTGCCTCTAAAATGGAGCTAAGAATAGCATCTCTTCAGGGCTTATTATGTATGCAACTTTAAGATCTATGTAAAGTACTTGTTACTGTCCGTAGTACATTTAAAAAGCCAACTACCAGTGGTGGGGGAAGAGGCAGAATCCTCTATTGGTAGAAGAGAATACTCTAAAATAAGTAGGTAATCTGTTATTTTCACAATGGCATATGTCTTTGGGGGGGTACTTAAATGATTTTTCCTTTTCCCCTCTCTGCTTCTCTCTTTACCTTCTGGATTTTACTTGTGAAAGATTTCTTGATGCTCTGTAGTATCACAGACAACATCTTGTTGAAAGTGGAAAAAAAGCAAAATTTCTGCTTCATTCCAGTGCCTCATCTCCTCTCTACTTTTATCTTTCTGGTAAACTATCTTTCAGGTTTGTATTATATCCCTGGGTGTACCCATAACACTACTTTGTTAGTTAGATGACTTTATGCTATTTATGTCTTACTATGGTTAACAAGAATTGATTGTCGATAAAATATACTATGGGCAACAAGAATTGATGAGTGGTAAAATTTGTAACTATATCTTGGGGTTTTTTTGTTGTTGGGGGTTTTTTTGGTTTTTTTTTTTGTTTTTGCGGAACGGGGGATTGAACTCAGACCCTTGAACTTGCCAGGGAAGTGCTTATTCTACTGAGCCATCTCCTCAGCCCCATAACTATATTTTAAAAAAGGAGATCTGAAGTTTTTTTTTTTTTTTTTTTTTTGCGGAACCGGGGATTGAACTCAGGCCCTGGTACTTGCCAGGCAAGCACTTATTCTACTGAGCTATCTCCCCGGCCCTAAGAGATCTAAAGTTTTGTTTAGGTTATGGCTAAAATTTCATTTCAGTAAGAGTTGTCACCTCAGTAGGACAATGCAATGAAAATTTATTGGTCTATGTTAATTGTTGGTTAGAAAGCTGAAAGTTAATGTAACTTTTCTGAGCCATTACATTTTAATTTCCCTAATAATACAGTAGGTGTGCCAGTCAGAACTTCTTGGGTCCAAGTATTCTGTGAAGGGTAACTTCATTAAATTTTCTATTGTGCTTTCGTCTTACAAACCTAAGTATATGCTAACCTTTTGCCAGCTTTATGGGCCTTATTTATGGGCCTTATTTTGATCTACAGTAGCAGAATCCTACTCATGTCATTTTGTTTTGTCTTTTCTGAGATAGGCCAGTCAGCAACTCAGACTGGCCTTGACCTCACTTTATAGCCCAGGCTGGTCTCGAACTCACAGCGATCCTCCTGCCTCAGTCTCCTGAGTGCTGTGATTACAAGCATGTGCCATCATGCCTGTTTACCGGGGATCTTTTTGTATTTGCTGGCAAATTTGAGTCAAACAAAAGGATTAACTTTCAACAGGAAAATTGTATGTTTTGCAGACATGGTTGGTGTCTACTGTTTTAAGGCACTGGAAGTGTTTCTTACTGTGCATCACACTCATGCTTTTGTGTTGTTGCTAGTTACTGAGCATAGAAGGATGGGATGTAGCTAGCATTTGTAGAGCACATTTCTGGTAAAGAAACACTATTGGCTATTATGTGTGTTTATGGTATGTACTAATTTTTTATTTACTTTTTATGTTTTTGTATTGGTCTTTTGTTACTAATTATAATTACAATTTTTGAGCTGAGGATGTGGTCTGTTAGTAGATTGCTTGCCATGTGTGAGCAAGGGCCAGGTACTGTCAAAAAAGAATTGGAGACGTGCTGAATAATTTAACAAACATTTAGCTAAGAATATTTTGGGGACATTATCTCTTTCTATACTGTGATAAATCTCGGAGATGTATTAGCTTATCTCCACTGCACTATTAGAAAACTAAGATTTGAATAGATGTAAATAATTTGTTCATAGTTATTTAGTCATTGATAATGATGAGATTTGATTAGTATTTACCTTCATGGGTTTTTAAGTGGTCAGTATTTCTCAAAGTCAATCACAATTTTTGCTTTATCTTTGAACTGCCTTGTCTGTTACTTAATATTTTATCTTAACTTTTCTTACTGCTTTTTAATTAAGGGAATGTAAAATAAGAATTTACAGGATTGTTCAATATTAACTACCCCCCTTCTAATATGTTTTAAAATAAACATACAATCTTAACTGCTCCTTTATAGAGCACTTAAAATAACCTAAATATCACCATTCCTTTGCATTCTACCCTTTGGGACATTACTGATACAAGAAATGAATGCTGCATAAAATCAGGCAACAGTTGTAGTTAATGAAGACCAGAAATAGTGAAAATCTAGAATGGAATAGATTCATCAAACAGAAATGACAGCATTACAGAAAGATATAAATTAGAGACTTGATACATACTTGGGACAACCATTTTGATGATGAACTGAAAAGAAGTCATTCTTTCTTCTTGTTCTTGTTATTTTTCTCTTTTGGCTGACTCAGCCCGCCCTATGGGCAGGGCTGGCAGCATGTGGTGCGAAGGATTGAACCGTGGTCCTCTACTTGCCTAAGCAGGCGCATTAGACTGCTGAGCTGTCTTGCCTGCCCCAGTAGGTTTGTTTAGATACAGAAATTTAATAGGATGTCTAGGGTAATCTGTGGCAAGAGAATGAGAATAAATGAAGTGACTACAGAAATGGAGGCAGTAAAAATCTGAAAATTAGATTATTGGAGCCAAATGTTGCAGAGCTCAGAAAAATGAGAAGCAAGCAGCCTTTGGATTTGACCTTAAGTTCCTTGATAATTCTAGAAAGAATTTAGGTCAAGTAATGAGGATGAAAGTTTAAGGAGTGGGATGGAGGATACTTGGTGAGACCTTGATTTTTAGGTTTGTGGGATATGCAAATGGAGTTGCCTGTGAAATTTAAAAAGAGGTCTAGCCCTGGATATTGCATGATACCAAGATGGAATATTGATCAGCATTACAGCAGAAGAGAAGCAGGATAAAGGAAAAATTAAAGGGAAATAAGTTCCAGTGAGTTTGGACAGTCCCTCCAAATCAATCTTGAGTCTGCAAGAGATGGTAGCCTATGTTATAGAGAAACAGAAGTAAATACTTGATGTACTTCTCTCTTTTCCAGTTGATAGTTGAAACTACAGGGTTGCTGTATATGGTTATGTGATTTGTGTGCCACACACAAAGGCACCAACCAAGCTGAATGAGGCAGTGAAAATTGAGACTCACCCTGTGCTCTGTTTGCGGAGTTCTG